GTGCCCCTTTCACTACTACTACTACTACTACTACTACTACTACTACTACTACTACTACTACTACTACTACTCCTGCTGCTACTACTACCACCACCACCACCACCACCACCACCACCACTACTACTACATTTCCTGCTGCCAGTGCTACTGCCTCTGCTTCTGCTACGGAAACTGCATCTGCTTCTGCTTCTGCTGCTGCCACTGCAGCGACTGCGGTCACGACTACGAATGCTGCAGTTTCGCGCGTCAACAGTATCGCGATTTTCGTTGCGGTAGTCACAGTGTAAGTACTTGTTAACAGGAAAGTTGCACCAGGCGCAACAGCATAGAAAGTGCTCGTGGTGATGAAAGCAATCTCAAGATGTTGCAACTGCAACTAGGACATTTCACAAGAGAAAACTCAAGACGAGAAGCAGCCCACACCCAGAAACAGAGTGGCCTGGAAATTGCATTCACTGTCCCAAACATTCGCTTCACAGTCTGTTTGATATCCTGCATAACACACTTGACTGAAGCTTTGGCTTGCCGGAAGGTTAAGCCTGACGAGAGTATATCTGCGGCCCCGAATGCCGTCAGGCAGACTCCCAACAGCTCCTTTTTCAAAACATTGAGAACGTCCCGGCCCTGACCGGGTATTTCCGCGCCCTGCGATGCCAGCATCTCGGTCAACACGGATAGGAACCTGGCCGACTCCAGGTGAAAAAGGATCTCAAAACCTTTCTGCTGCACCCCGGTTCCATCGACCTGAATGTAAACCCTAAACCCTAAACCCTATGGTGTCCTCCAGCATGACCCAAGGGCCGGAAGCCAACCGTTCCCAAAACATGAAGAGCTCATATAAGACAGAAACAGGATGGTCATGGCATTGATGACGAGGATGTGATGGTGAATGTGACAACCAGTGCACTGATGATGCCGCTAATGATGACCCCCCGGTAAAGATGAGATGATGACCATGGTCATACTTACACATCGAGCACGGGACAGCCGCGATCAGGGTTCAAACAAGTCGAGTCTTGCTATGATGAAGACGAAGATGCTGTGGCAGGCACAACCACAACCGTCCGTGGCACCTCGTTCACCGCCATCAACGTGGTCATCAACACCTATGTCATCTTCTGCATCTTCAACATCATCCTTGTGTCACCATCCCCACTATCGTCACAAAATGCATCATCGCAGGAGTAGCAGGAACAGGAGCAACAACAGGTTTCACAGCAGCCACAGGAGCCGAGGACTTGGTACTGTCAAGGTGAGCAAAACCGTATATACTCATCACCACAGCTATCGCCATCACCATCATCGTCATCATCATGATCATCGTCATCACTATGGCCGCTATGGTCATCGTCATCATCATCGTCATCAACATGATCATCGTCAGCATCATCGGCATAATAAAGGTGATGGCGACCGTACGGGGCCGTGCACTTGGAGACATTTTCTGGTTGATGCAAGACGGCGGCGTGGCCAACATTCGAGCGAAACGCGCATTTTGTATGGGTCATGCGCTTTCGCAGGTGCTGAATGCATTGGAAGCTCTCGTGAACATGTAATTTCGCGAGGCGTTTGTTCGAATTTTGAGTGTTTATGAGTCGGTGGGTCTTGAAAATTAAAAGTTTCAAGATCGTTTTTGCTTGAAAATCGTGCTCTCGCCACAGCGCGGATGTGTTTTGCACTGTAAGCAGCTTGTGCTTTCGGAGGCCTTTTTGTCCGGAGAGTGCTTTTGGCAAGGGATCGATTGAAAATGAAAAGCTGCAAAATCGTGCTCTGGCCACAGCACGGGGGCGTTTGACACCTTTTTCTGGGGCAGAGTCAGAGTCATGTTGCAGGTTTGCATTGCTTAGAACCCGGTGCCCTTCTACAGAAGGTAAGGCCTTGAAGCTTCTAGGAACATCCTTCATACTATTATGACACAATTCTAGTACTATTGGGCCTAAACCAGTTTTGAAAAGTCTTATCTGACGGTGCCCTTGAATATATGGTACGGCCTTAAAGTTTCTAGCACAATCCTTGCTACTTGAACTAGTTACACTAGTTCAATAGTTGTTGACTGCCTTTGGGCCCGAATAGAGGCAAAGATTGTTGTATGACTGCTTGGTACTAATGGCCTGAGGTCTAAACCATTTCTGAACAACTTTATGTGACGGCCCGCAAGAAGCTTCCAGGATGTGCGATTTGCATCATGCACATCTACATGTCTGCGCAAACCGGACGCCAATAACGCACGGCCGCGTGCGGGCGCCGTTTTCCATAAACATGATCATCCTCATGACCCTCATCATGGTCATCTTCATCATCATCATCAATCAGCAGCAGCATCGTCATCATCACCACTAACCATCAGCATCATCATCAACATCACGACCATCTTCATCATCGTCATCAACACCATCACTTTCAAACATCGAAACCATCATCATCAACATTGTCATCATCACCATCATCGGCACCATCACCCTCATCATCATCATCATCATCAACATCGTCATCATCATCATCGTCATTATGAACATCGCATCTGCCGTCTCTTGTCACCAACAGTTGGATCATCGAAATATCCGTGGTCATATCACCAACACTTGCGTCACCAGAATCAGTCTTGTCATCGCTGCATCATTCGCAGAATCAAGTGTCGTGGATCCATGCAAACGCATGGCAGCGGCGGCGGCATCGCAGCATTCTCATTGGCAAGAGCATGCTGTGGTTCCGACTAGTTTTCGTTTGCAAGACTGACACCAAAGCGCTGCTTGTGGTTGCTACCCGCCTCAACAAGACAAACGTAGAAGCATGTATACATATGTACAAACAAACAAACATAACTATACAAATACATGTCTATATATATATATGTAAATAAACAAGTACATGAATAAGTAAACGAAAATAGATCAATATGTATATATATATCATATATATATAATATATATACATATGTATGTCTGTCTGCCTGTGTCTGTGTCTGTGTCTGTGTCTGTGTCTGTGCCTGTGTCTGTATCTGTCTCTGTGTCTGTCTCTGTCTGCCTGTATATGTATATGTATATGTGCATGTATGTGTGTATGTATGTATGTGTGTGAGTATGTATGTGTATGTAAAATTTGTATGTATGTGTATGTATGTCTGTATATGTATATGTATATGTATGTATGTATACATGTATATATGTATACATGTAGATATGTATATATATATACGTATGTATACATATATATATATGTATGTGTTTATATGTATTCATGTATATATGTATATATGTATATATGTATATGTGTATGTATGTATTATCTGTCCGGGCAGCTGTGCTTTGGGCATGGCCTCGCACATTGCACGCTGTCGAGTGTCCAGCTTGCTCCTCACGGCACAGCATCACAGCATGCCCAGAGAGCCCAAATACCCCTTAATTCAGGAATGTACCTTAAAGCATAATATTAAATCCCCTATAATCTGAGGTATATTCCTCATTCAAGGGGTATTGGGCTCTCTGGGAGCATGAAGCTCCTGACCTTTTGTGGTTCCTCAATTTCAGCGGCCAAGACCGAGACTTGGGTCCAAGACAGGAAGTCTCAGACGCAGCTTCCCCAACGCCCAAACCCTAAACCTTAATCCCTAAACCCTAAAGGCCCTAAACCTTAAACCCTAAACCCTAAACCCCAAACCCTAAACCGCCTGCATCCCCGGTAGGCCCGGTTCGAAGCTCCTGGCTTCATGGGGGAAGTGGCAATACGAGCAGGAGTCGCCGTGGGCACAAGATCCTGGGCATGGGCACGTCCCATTTCAGGTTGAGGGTTTTAGGGTTTTAGGGTTTTAGGGTTTATAAGGGCTTAGGGTTTAGGGTTCAGGGGGAGTTGAGCTTTAAGACACAAAGCTTCCACGATTGAGGGCTGCATATCTGTACCCCAGCTACAGCTCGTGCCCATGGCAAACTGGACACAGGTAAGACATCATGTTGCTTTTTGTCGGCAGAGCATGTGAGGCTTTTACACTTCAATTCTGGGTTTCAGGTTGCTGGGTTCTTGTTAAAGGGGATTTAATTTAAGTTTACAATAGCAGGGAAACCCTATTATTTTACTATAGATCCCTATTATGGTAACTTAATTAAACCCAGGCTTGGTCTCGCACATTGGGCAACCCTCCTTCGCAGTCTGCAGCTCTGCGAGAAGCTCGGGGAGCCCGCTCTGTGTCACGGTGTGGTGGGACAACTTCTGCAGCCCTAGTGTGTCTGGTTCCGTGTTGGGGCTATATTAAACAGGATCATTCTAAAGCCTTGTTGGGTTTTCATTCAAACAAACAAAATGTAAAATGGGATCCAACAAATACCCAGGTGTAGCCTTATGCGAGGCAACAGTCGACCCAGCTTTCGGGCTTACAGGGGTGAGGAAGGCATTGCATGCCTAAGCCAGCCAAGGATTTAGGGTTTAGGGCATCTGCATGGACAAGGACTGCCTGAAACTCTGGAATCCCAACGATCAATGACAGGTCCGACCGTGATGCCTGATCCCTCGGGCCGAAGATAGGCGACAACCTCGAACATCCGAAAGCCGGGAGAGATATATCGAATCCTCAAGATTTGCATTCCTTCCCCGACCGAAGCCACATACTACCCTCCCAAGTTCATAGAATCCCAGAGCGATGCCTTTTATTTGTCAGCCGGCAGCCCAGAGTTACACGGAATCACGGCCCCCGAAACTCTGTTCAAGTCTATGTTCCCGAGCGCAAAATGTGCACGCAGGGCCGACGACAAAGGAAAGGGTGCCCACGACTTCCCTGGCTGAGAGCACCCAGCTGCTTCGTGTCCTTGGCACGATACCCAAAAAAACCTTGACAAAGTCCCCTAAACGAACTGAGCAGAAAAGCGGTGCAGCAGTCTCGACGGAAAAGGTCGGAACACCCTACAGTTTCAGACCCTGCTCATCCTAAAACGCTTGCACAAAAAGCCTTCACGGCCACCGGAAAACATGCTGAACGGCCGGAAAACAGACATCGCGAAAGCTGCAGTCGAGATCGCCAGACGATGACTCAGCTGCGCAGATGTGGCTGCTGCAGCTTCGTCGGTCTCCTTCCGCTAGCAGTTGGTCAGTTGGTGTAGGTGGATGACTATTTCAAATCCTGGCTTCCGCTGATCGAAGCTGTCCTGACAGCGGCTACTGAAAGTCCCTCTTTCACCGATCGCATTCAATCGAAAGCCTTGTGACCTTTTCCCCATCGGTGGCCGCTCCAGAGGACAATGACAGAACAGTTGCAACATACGGCCAACGGAGACGTTTTCGAGACTGCATACGGTCATCCCTGCTCAAGGAACCAAGCACACAAATCGTCATGCCCTCTGTTCGAACATGCATCCCGAACCCTTACCCTCAAAGGGCTCATATTTTAAGGCTTTTGGGCCCAAAAACCCCATTATGTAAGGCTTTTGGGCTATTTTGATGCTACGGGGAAAAGCGGTATCTGGAGAGCTGCATCGAAGTCGACAAGGAAGCCGCCGTCCCGCTGCTTTCCGATGTGGAATCCAGTCGGTGGAACCACGGTGGCCATCGGGGCCGCATCCTCTTCGATGCGTGAAAGTATGACCCAGAGAACCGATACCCCTTAAATAAGTAATGTACCTTAAATTATGGGGGGCCTTAATATTATGATTTAAGGTATATTCCTTAATTAAGGGATATTGGGTTCTCTGGGCATGTAATGTGCCCACTGTGAGTGATGTATGTAAAGGACGCAAAGGCAACTCATGAAATCAGACATGAACAAAGACACACATCCGTCCGCCGTCCATCACTACTTCGTCTCTTCCTGCTGCTGCCGCTGCTGCCGCTGCTACTACCGTTTTTGTGTTTTGTATATGTTTTGTACTAGTGGCATGCTTCTTGACAAGATATGTCGTACTTGTCGGCATGGATGTGACTGTTTGTGCCGCTTTATTATGTTCACCAGGTGTTCATGTTTTGTTGTCGCTCCTCGAAATGTAAGCATGGCTTCTGCTGTTCGTCTTACCATTCAGTGCTTGTTCACTTGTTCACACATGTTCACACATACTTGATGTCGTTACTGTTGCAGTTACGGCTTTTGCGCGAACTCCGGCTAGCTGTTGGTAGTAGGACTCCTAGACGGAACCAGCCCCGGTCCGGGAGTCATGTGTGTGGTGTGCCAGCATCCGTTCCAAGCAAGAACAACTGTCCATCATTCGTTTCAGAGCGGGGGGGGGGGCGGGGCGCCGGCACCCAGACTGTCCAAGTATTTGGCAATGGCACGTGGTCAGAGTGTTGTGGTATTCGCGGCCGGCCTTCAGTACCGTCCACACATTCGGAGCAACTCTGAGCACGAGGTTTACTTTATCGACGTCCACTGCTCAATTCCGTTAGAGTTTGCGATGCTTTAGGAATCTTGCACTGAGTTTGTTTATGTTGTATCCTACTATATTGTATCACGTTACATTATCTTCAACCCAATTACACTGAGCCAGAAGAATGTTTCCAGCAAAATATGTTGTATCACATTCGGTCTTGTGTTTTTTGATATTATAGTACAATATACTACTCTGTCTTATATTACACTGCTTTAAATCATACAAGACCGGGTAATGCCACTACATACATCATAATGCTATATATATATATATGTATGTATGTATGTATGTATGTATGTATGTAGGTAGGTAGGTGGGTAGGTAGGTAGGTGGGT